TCTCTCTCTCTCTCTCTCTCTCTCTCTCTCTCTCTCTCTCTCTCTCTCTCTCTCTTTCATGCATAAGGGGAAATACAAAGAAATCTGGAGTGAGAGAGAAAAATAATTTGTACTTGATGAAACCCTTTGAACGGTATGTGTACACTTTCCGTTGGAGTTATCTACAGTGTTCATAATATCAACGATACAAAGTTGCAATAGCCTGACGATTCTATAAAGGAATATTTCTTGGTTACGAGGCACACATATTGTAATCTATTTATATTTAAGGGGGCGGAGATATTTTTTTCTTAAACCAATAATCACGTTGATTTTTTTTTTTACATATGAAACTGTCCGAAGTCTGCCACCCCTTCTTTAACGTCCACCACCCCTTCTTTCACATTGTTAGCTGGTAAGACAATAGACTTATGGGGACGTGTTTTCTGAGCTCCCGGACTTAAAGGATAATATTGGATGATTCACTTCATATAACGAACACTACACTTAGAAAAGGTTGAGATCGGATTAAAATCAACAAAGATCACATAAGTGTTTTCCATCATGTCCGCACATCCATACAGCAAGTTACACAAAAAAGAAAAAAAGAGGGATATACAGAAAGTTACACAAATCGTTGGACAAAAAAGAGGGAGATAAAGTTAGGTGGACTTAGACATTGGGATCCTTGGTAGGCGGGAGTTGAGGCGGAAAGCCGGTACGCTCTGTTACAATACGCTTCATAAGGTCTTTTTTGGGGTCTCTGACCTCTAGGGGTCAGGAAAAGGCCTAGCACCAAGGCCAAGTGCCCTCTTAAAGGGACTGCAGTCTATGCCCGGGACTGCAAGCAGTCGTATAAGCCTTAGGGCAGTAAGCGACTTAAAACCAGTTACTTAATAGACTTACGGACCAGCGAGTCTTATTTCCTTTTGTTGAAAAATGTCTAGATCTCGTGGTATATCAATGATACAGTGTGTGTGTGTGTGTGTGTGTGTGTGTGTGTGTGTGTGTGTGTGTGTCCCGCTCCCCTAAAAGAAGAAATTGAAACAAGATCGAAAGTGAGAATAATATAGTTTCTGGCCTCCTTTACAGAGCTTTCACTTCCTGCGATGTGGATGGTTATATCGCTGGTAGGCCGAGAGGTACTGGGCTCGAACTGTAAAGGAAAGGTAGACTCTGATATGTGAATTCTAGGTAGCGGTATTTTTTTAAAACTGACATTAAACAATGTTCGATGTTGCAAAATTATACACATGATGTGATAGATTTTAGACATAGAGTTGCATTAAAAAATATTATATTAATTTAAAGATTACAAACTTCATAACCTACTGTAATCTCTGTCATTTTAAAAGATAGAATAAATCATTAAATATCGAATGAGTTAATGTAGCTAAAATGCTTAAGAATTCAGTATTTCAAAGTGATACCAAAATCATGTGTAGAAAAAGCAACTTATTGAATGTTTGACTGTAAATTCCGAAGTAACAGGTTTTGAAACTCCAATTGTTATTTTATTTGTAAAGTAATTATTATTGAGCATCAAGTTGGTAGCGAGATTGTTTTCACAATAAGTCAGTAATACGATTAAAACAGATACATTTACATTCTTGATAAAATGTAAACAACCCATTAAACATTATATTTTATAATTAATATTATATAAGATAAAGAATACAAATGTTTCTAGACAAAATTGAATTAATACTCTTAAAGTCTGTAATCATTCAAGTTATTGCACTGTAATACTAAAAAATGAAATGTAATAGACTAATGCTAAAAAATGAAATGTAATAAACTGTAATGCTAAAAGATGAAATGTAATAAACTGTAATACCAAAAGAAGTAAATGTAATAAACTGTAATGCTAAAAAAATGAAATGTAATAAACTGTAATGCTAAAAGAAGTAAATGTAATAAACTGTAATGCTAAAAAATGAAATGTAATAAACTGTAATACTAAAAGAAGTAAATGTAATAAACACGTTTCTCTTACATTTAAAGGACAGGCAAACTCCATGATAGGAAGTGGGAGTCTTTCCCTCTCATTCGGACGATTATAATATATAATTCTGTGGAGAATGGAATGTGAACACGGTTCCGGAGTTATGGAAAATTACAAAATTGTTTTGTACAGATTCATTTGCCTGAAGGGCAAGAGATCATACTAAATTCAGAGATCATAACCTTTCCATATCTATTTTCTAACTTTCAGGCTAGAACAATTGCTGAGATTACAACTTACTTTATGAAAAATTCTTTACTGCATAATTTTATATGATTCACTAGCGTATAATACATGAGGATTCTCTGCAATTTATTTATGCAATGCAAAGACGTAATGCGGCACATAACCAACAAACACCGTTTTTATTAAAATAAAAGTTATAATAATACAAATTGTATTTTATGAAAATTCGTAGATTATTTAATTGCAATAAATCTATTAGTAATATTTATTTATCAGTTAATCATTTGAGCGATAATTTAAGTACTTTTGCTTACTAAAAGTTTCATTTGTTCAAATTAATTCTTGTTCTGATGTTTTTTTAGGCTGCACTTTTTACACCTTGACAATAAAAGTAATTGTGTGGAATTAGGATACCTTGCTCTCTTAATTAAATATGGTCAATGAATGCCAAATCCCACCTGAACCACCCACAAGAGCGTCAAAATCAATGTTTGTCTCCCACACTAGAGAGTTCATGTCGGGCTGCAGCGACAATTGGAGTCTATTCATCAGCATGGACCATAATATCATTGAGCGATTTAATTATGCTTCCAATTGGGATTATTTACCTTCCTTCCAACAGTTCGTATGACCTGGCTCACGGCTCTTTAAACTCTACATTTCTACTACTGACGTATGTGCCAGAACACTATTCCACCATTCACTTTGGTGATACAGACAGGGAATGTTCCAAGAACTGGGCATTTGGTATGATGTGGAACAATTATTCACGACCTGACAAATTCTAGTAAATCTGAATAGTGTACATAATTCAATATTCCCACAAAGAGAAATCGCTGTTCAGTATTTTCAATATCATTGGAATACACTGTACCAAATAAAAGCAATAGATTTCATACTTTATCCGATAGTGAAAATGATGAATTACCTCGTGATACTGCAACCAGAGTAGCTGATGTTCTAAGGTATTAGGTGATGACGATGACGAGAATACTTTTGGAGAAAGGGGCATTTAAAAACACACCTCAAAGAGGACTGCGCCAATTACTGGCAATTCAATGTCCAACGATTTTTGAGTGTCTAATAAATACTGATAAAGGAGAGCTTATATATACCGAAGCGAAAGAAAAATGACATGAAAAATGACGTGTGTGTTGTCATGAAAATAGAAGAATGAAAACTATTTGCGGAAAGGAAAGACTTTCCAGACGATTGTGGTGTGTGAGACAGGAGAGGGACTATGACAGTAAACTAGACATTTGCACTTGAGTGACCTCAGGGAAAACAGAAGAGGTTTCATTTTTTTTAAAAGTATATTTATTTGTGAAGAAAACAGTGAAAAGACAAGTAAATTATGATAAAATTGATTGGTTTCATAAACGTCACGATTGTGTACGCAAATACCCACAATGTAACGCGCGCACCTTGCCGAGTAAAACTTTTGGTGGAATATCAGTTTCGCTTAACAAGGTATTCATACTGGCTAATGTAATTCCTAAAATACTGACATTCCTTGTCTTTAAACTTTTTTTATTTTAATTTTACGGTTGAACCTTCTTCATGCATTATATTTTGAGATATCTGCTTTGCAACATAGTCTTTTGAATTCTAATAATTTTTCTGCGCATTGTAAAATTTGAAGCATAACTGCACTATATGTTTTACAAAGGTATATTTTTTTATCTGTTCTGACATCGGTCTCAGTGCTTTTATTACAACTTAGTAATACCTTCCATCTTCACAATCATTAGGACCAATATGCTTATGTATACCCATGATTTCTCTTTTTTAATTTAGCAGTTTTGGGTGTAACATTGTTCAATAACTTCGTAAGCATGTATCAAATTTCCTTTTATATTTTGTAATGGCCTCTATATTAACACGCATCTTTGAACCCAGTGACTCTATCTGTCCCATTTGTATTTTTATGGTATCAGAGAATATTTTTACGGGGAGCATTTGAAACTGAATCCCTGGCATAAAACAAAACATTTCTAATTCATAATTTTATGCTAATGAAAGTTTTTTTTTTCATTATTTTTTTACCCGAATTGGATACAGCTTTGTATGAGATTGACGAAATGATTGATATTTAGGTGTAGTAGTAGATTTGCAATCCTGTCATAACTGCTTCTTGTAGGTTCGCTTTTTTTCTTGTCCATATTTGCTGTGCAAAATATCGAATAGACGTTCAATTACATTATACAGTTTGCCTCTGTTAAATATATTTACATGCTTTCTTTATGATCACATGTCTATGTTCGGCTCCCCACCTGGGTTTGTGTATTTAAAAGCCTAACGGTTAAGACCAATCAGTTTAACTGAGCTTTAACAGAACCAAACTGTCGAATTTTTGGAATCACAATCATGTCCTCAAATAACTCAATACCACTGGAAAAATATTCATAACAAATATTTAATGCTAAAATTCTGTACTCATTTACATTTCTGTTAAATTAATCTCTCTATGGTATTCATACGTCTGCATTATTTTCTAGTTACAAATTTATTAAGGGCATTTTTAATTTTTGTCAGTATTCTTTTTTTTTTTTGCTATTAACATCTCAAGTATCGAACAGTTTTTATTTTATTTATATCTGAAAATAGTTTAATTTAAATTCAACAACATATTTATAGATGTGAACAAATTCTACTTTATATTTCACGATTATTTTTTTTTTATTTAGTTCACATCGTTGCATTATTTAAACTTGAACTTTATACCACCGCTGCTGTGCACTTCAAAGAAGCATTCAAGTCGAAATTATCTTAGAAGTTTAACCTGTACATTACATCGGTATTTTAAAGTAATACATTTCTCATGGGACCGCTTCGGTGCTGTATGTGGTTAGAGCATCCGCCTCGAATGCGGGAGGTTGCGGGTTTGAACCCAGCCGAGTATTACCAAAGACTTATAAAAATGGTACGAGCAGCTGCCTCGCATGGCGCTCAGCAATGAGAAGTTAGTTAGGACTGGTCGGCCTGGTAATATAACTGGGTGTGGTATGATGCTATATGTCTGCAGCAAGATTCCCCAGTGCTAGACATCTCTGTAAATCACCACAGTCAGACATTGTAGTAGTATGAATTCTTAAAAAATCCAAATCACACACTCACACACACACACAGACACACACACACACACTTCATACAGTGAGAAGAAAGTTGACATCTGACGTAAGTCGAATAAAAAAAGTTTGATTTTGTAATTCTGCTCTTTACTCATAAACCAAGAAAACCAAGTTGCAAACACGCTATAAAATAAATTGTATTAGCTTTACCGGTATATTAGAAGATATTAGATTATCAACATTTCTCAAACTGATTGAATATAGTTTGTCCGCTTGTCCCATTTGATATGTAATTTGCTTGAAGTAACTGGTCAATTTGTAAAATAAGTGTGCATCTATGTTTATGTTTTTCTAAGAGCAATATAATAACAGATTTCAATTAGATGGTATGTTTGCACCAGTGAATACTAATTTGTGTGACTATTTGTGACGGGAGATACCTTGCAAAAGAACGTATTTATTTTAGCGTCGTCGACACCAGTGCGATAGCGTACAAAAGTTCTACTCTCTGGAAACTTTGGATATTTTATTTTAGTGTGTCGTTTCCTACACGAGTAGGCAATATTTAAAAAATCGATACCAACCCGAGCTTACCTGTAAATTCTTTTTTTTTTTTTTTTTTTTTTTTTTTTTTACTTTTGTGTTGTATTCCACACGACGGTTGATGCTTAAACATTCTGCTGTCCCATTACTACTCCAGTATATGTCTCAGTAACTATTATAGTTTAAATCGCTGGAATGAGTTCGAGAAAAAGCCAGGATATAACATGTACTGCTCCAAGTCTGCCTACAAGTGGTGAACATCTCGCATATTTTATAGAAATGTTTTTAAAACTAGATCAAGGAAACGTCACCAATGAGATCATGTATATTTTGTGGGCAGTACATTTAACTCCATATGCGTGGGACGAACGGTGTTCATGTGTAAAGTAAGCAATAAATAAAGCATAAATATGACACTTTACTTGATGTTTTCACACGCACCAACGTCTAACGTGCATAGACGCACAAACAATAGCAGTTACTGTCTTCTCCCAACGTATTTTAGTAATATACAGTACATTGTTTTTGATCCCGTATTTTAGAAATCATTCGATCAAGAACATAAAGCTCCCAAACGGATGCTATATTTATAAATATACTTATGAATATACTTTATGAGAATTACATGTGTTTATTCTAGCTACACGTGTTTGAGCTTTTTGGGGAGGGTTGGGGTTGGGGGTTGCAGAGTAAGACCACATAAACATTTCGTACTATACAACGTTCCAGAATACTTTAGCTTGGATATTCAGGAAAAAATATTAACGAGAATCATCTGAAGGAACGAAGTTCTGTATGAATAATGTGATAACAAAAGCATGTTTGAAAATGTAAATATAGATAGCTGTAGCATTAAATTGCTAGGCGGTAAAAAATGTGACATTCATAGCCAAAAATTATTTCTTTTTCAAAACCGTGGCACCATGTAAAACAAGATAATACTTAGTGGTTTAATTGTTAGCACAACATATTATTTCATGTAAATTTTCATGGAAAATGTAGGTAAAACGATGTACATCCATTGTGAATTTAACATGAGCCATGTATAGCACTTTGAAGTCCCTCGGTGTGTTGCTGCCATCTTACCGGCCTCCAGCGTTCGCCAGAGCGTGTTTATGTTCTTGTTTTGTTTTGTTTCTTATTTCGATTTATTTACGATCATACTACTAAACAATAGTGTGGACAAAAGTTAAGTAGGCGAGTCAGCTCCTTTCAGCTTGTTTAGATTAAGATTTCTAGAAGTGACGTTAAAGAGTGAAAGGTGAAGCAAGAATGTCATTCTCGTCGAGCTAGATCATTCAAGTATTCAAATAGACAAAAACTAAATAGGATTTTGATTACGTCATCATGAGATGCCATCCACTGTCAGCCAAACGCCTCAAAGCTGTACTGTTGTGAGAACTTCGATAATTTAGTATTTAAAATATGTTCAAACAAAACCGATTTTAATAATTAAACAAAAGAATCCCAAAAGTTACTAAAATATGTTTGTTATTATAACAAGCACTCGTCTCTGTATATTAATACAACTTTTACATTTTTCTTTAGAAGAATTTAACTTATGACCATCCACCATTTCAATTATATATATTTTTAGAAAAAGCTGGTTAACTACCATTTTCAAAAGTTTCATAAAAATTCCTCTATGGTACACCTTTAAAAACATTTTTGAAAAACATTAAATTTCACTTTTTGTATATTCACTAAGAAGAGAAT